TGGGAAATTATGAAAATCCCATAGTAGTGAATGGAGAAGAGCCACCACGGACCCAACTAAGATGGCTTCCAATTGCCCCAAAGCCATCGTATTGTGCGCCATCTCCAGTTCTCTTTCTAGCTCAGTGACTAGACCCCTTATGCCATGGATAAGAAAGAAGCAAATACGATTCGTACCGACACAGATGTTACCACATGTCGCTTTTGGGATGACCTGTTGTTCGACTTCCTAGGTTAAAGCAGCTTCTCTCGAGTCGACAGAGGAATTCAAGAAATTTATTGTTTTCATAATTTTTATATTCATAATGCTATACCATGCTATACCATATGAGAACCATTAGGTCCTCGACCAATCCCTCTTGATACCAGGAGAGAGGTAGCAGTACGCAAAGGCATGAAGACAACCGTGGTTACATGGCTCCTGCCACTCCATCACGTGCATAGGAATACATGTTGAAAAATAGTAAGACTTATTTGCCATTGCTCTCTAGATCGATGGGGATAAATACACAACCACTAAAAACAGTTGCTTGCGAAGCGCCTTAGCTACTGTATTGCGTTCGCAACTGGTTCATCACTTGACTCCACACGCAACTTTATAAGAGCAGAAGCGATTTTCAGCGTAATAAACGTATAGTGTTTTTCCTTACAATTTTTTTTTTTCACTTGACTCGGACACTCGTGTATGAGGAACGTCCCATGCACGAGAGTTCAAATAAATATAAAAATTCGACTCGAGTGAGAACACTGTAATCAACAGGTTAGCGGGATACCGATTATGTGGATGCAACGGACCCTAATAGGGCCTAATCTAAGTCCTGGGTTGCTCCCGATTAGAATCGCATTTGTTAATCATACCCATATGGGTACCAAAGGCTATGTGACTTAACGTTAGGCGTGTATTAGGCCCTTCATTAGGCTTATACATGGGCCTACCTCCTCATGGAAGCATAACATCGTAACGTTAGATTTATGTCATAGGAAGGGGCCAAGGGACTCCATAATCTATTTTTTTTCATTAAAAAAAAACATTTCCATCCAAGACTGAGTGGAATTAGCCCTAGGATCAGTCTGACCAATTCAATGTTGTAAGCCAACATTGATGGTATTGGGAACTGAAATTGAGAAGTCATGGCTGAATTTTAAAACTAGGTTTTTATGGTTTTTATGGCTTATGCTTTTTTAATATCAGAGTATTTGAACTAGGCATTTCTCATTAATTCACTCATGGCAAACTGGTGCTGATAGGCCTACCTAATCATATGCCTAACATGTATTTTAAAGACAGTTGTCACTATGTCAATGTCACCATTGATGACAGAAACATTTATGATTTTATCAGGCAACTTAATGGTCCTGATCCCCTCCCCCCCTGATTGTAAAGGTAGTTAGAAAGCAGCCCCTTCTTCCTTGAGCCATTCAGGGTTGGTAAATAAATACCTTAAGCCCTTGTCACATCATCAACAGTTATGATGATACATTGATGTTTTTAAACCAGCTATAGCAACAGCTTTTATTTTTAAATGGATTAATTAGCCTGTCCACTCTCAGGTGAAGCTGGGATTGTCTCAATTTTCTATTTGCATTAAAACCCCAGCTAGATGTAAGTTTTTTAACATGGTTGTAATAGAAGACAACTACTATTACTCTCCTTCCACACTTGCAATAGCTCATGGAAAAAGGGATTGTTGATCTTTCCCTCCTGGTTGTATTGTATCCCAGAATTTGGATAGTGTAATAACCTGGGTTCTCAATCCATATGTGTCTGACTTTGAGTGGAAGTAGGTGGCATTACTATTTCCAAACTGAGTGATCTGTTCTGATAAAGTGTGCTTCTTTCTTGTGGGCTTTTCAAGGTCTTACATGAGTGTCTAAACAATACCTTTACCAGAAACACAGGACAAGTGGATACAAAGGAATGGGGAAATGATCAGTGGGTAATGAGATAGTGTACATCATCATGACTTCTACTTGGAGAAAATGTGGGCATTTCCTCCACAAGAACTTCACTTCAATTGTGGGGCAGCAGATGGGTCGAACTGTTGATACCTACCATGTGCAAGTGAGATGGAAAAGCAGGCCAAATTACTTTGCTGAAAGAGTTGCTGAAGGCCCAGTGCTTCGACGCCATGGGTATGAGGAGAAGATCTTGCTGAGTGGTCAGTCAAAATACATTCTCAGAAACTATCCTATTGTCCCCAATATGAAATGAGGATCATGTTAAGTACTGATCATATAATGCCCCTCTTTTATATTTCCTTCTTCTCCATTCATGATGCAGGTCCCCTTCCTCGCACAGTCAAGACGAATACACCCATCAAAGTCATCCCACCATATAAACCAAAAGAATCATGGACCGAGAAGAGAGCACATTTTGGTCAGAATGATTATGTTGGTAAGGCAATTGCAATTTTCCGGCTGCTTCCCCCTACAAATATTCCATTTAATCAACTGCAGGCTTATGCTGATTGTACTTGATTATGTTTTGTCATAACAGTGTAGCTACAAATTCAGGCTCTAAACATGCTTGTTGTTTCAGATATCCTGGGCCCACCTGGAGCATTGCATCCAGCCAAGCTAATGTATGGTGTTCCTCAATGGCTAAGAGGTTTTCATGGCAATGAGATGCAGACACTTACCAGACAAAAGGCATTCTATGGAAGATATTGGCAGCAGAAGCAACCAGCCAAATGGGAACAAGTAACTAAGCGTATCCGATATCTCTACAGAGTCATGAACCAGAAGCATGTCACATACAAGCCTTATTCCAAGGAGAGAATTGTGTACACTGGACCAAAGTAGAACAAATTAAGGATATGATTGTGGATTTGAGAGACTGAGCTATTGAGGAAGGTAATAAAGAACTTCCCTTGCCTTTTCCAGTTGATGTTAATCTTGTCATCTTGCTCTGATGGAACCCTTGTAAAGCTCAACACTGTCCTTTTCTCTGTGATTATATGAAAAAAGGTATTTCTTCCTAGAAGCATAAGGATGAAGCTCAAAATGTTTACAGATTACAAAAGTAACTGCATGCCATTTAATATTTAGTTCCATTCAATTCATTATTTTAATGGAAATTCTGAAAATGTGAATGAGCTGGTTTGACTTCTCTCTCCTTTGTTGGAGCACCTCCCAAAGAAAAGAAGGAAGAGAAGTTTTGAATTCCAATAAAGAGCTTTCATCATGGGCCATGAAACTGTCATAATGAATATAAGGCTGAAATGCATTAAGCTGATAATGAGTATCATGGAAAACTTGAAAACTATATTACCTAGTTTCTTTATTATATATATTGTGACAAAATGAATGCTTGTCTGGATTAGTTGGTAGATTTCATTTAACAGTTTAATGACTCAGAGTTGTCAGCTTGTATCTCCATTCAATGTTGTAGCGATAAGCATTTGACTTTATTTTGATGCTACCAAGATGGATGTATTGCAGTCCTTTCTGGTGACAATTACTTGTATTTGGTGATTTTAAATATTTCAACCTGGAATTTCAGTACATCAGAGAATCTAGTTCAAAAGGTGTTGAATGAAATCAGATGAAGAAGGGATGGACTTACTGTTGGAAACTCAGGTTCATCTTGCCAGAGACCTGCTACTAGCTATACTCCAGAGATAGTTAACAAAGTTTGCCATCTGGCAACTGGAAATAACCCAGGAACTCAAAATGTATTACAAGAGTTGTTTGAGTGTTCAAACAACGTGCAACATTTTTCATTTTGATCGACTGCACCAAGAGGCATGACATAACTCAGGTGTTCACAAATTACTTCCAGAATATGTTAATAAGAGAAAGTCCAACTCCAGGAAGCTTTATGAGTGCTACCTTGTGGGTGATAGATGGAAATTTTTTGTAACCCTGGATAAGGCATATGTCTATCTTGCTGATTGCAATAAGTGTCAAGCCGTTTATTATGGACTGGTTATTACAAAGTGCTGAGAAGGGTTCACCAAAGAGATCTGCACTTTGTGGAGGTGGAAACTAGATTTCATGCTATACCAGTCAAGGACATTCTCATGAAGTTATTTGATGCATCACCTGTACATTTTTGCAGTTATTATTATTGTGTCACAGTACCTCCATCTTTTCAGAAGCAACACTGTAATGGTGAATGTTTTAATAGCTATATTTATTCTACACCTGTGTGAAATGTCAAATATGTAAAACCATTAATTTTTATTACAACCTTTTTAAATGCTATTAGCTGAATCAATTGATTCAATATAACTGATTTTTCAGGAGAGGAACCAAGAGTTATTAGATTTGTTACCCGTTAGGCAATAATAGATGTTTAAAAGAAAGAGAGAGAAAACTCATCACCCATGTCCAACAGACCTTGAAAGATTGCAAATAACTTTCAAGATTGTTCAGTGAGTTTTTTTCCTCTCCCCCATTTTCTGACAACCAGTCGATTTTGAAAAACTGCAAGGGCTAGTGGAATGGCTACCATTTGCTTTTAAAAGAAAAAGCTTATGATGTCCACGTTTGCGTTACTGGTGCTGATGCACTTAACCTGTACCGCATTGAACAGAATCCAGTATAGGATAAATTTGGAGTTATATTCATGCGTTGGGGAAGGGACGAACTTTGGACTTTCGCAGGGTATCCCGTAGAAGTTTTTTGTGAAATTGCTCAGGTTTGCGTAAATATTTGTGTAGGGTGTGCGGAACACAATAGCGCAACATCTCGCTTGGTGGGACCCGCTATTAGTCCCATATTTTGGCATCTGCCCAGAGACGAAATCACGACGTTTATTTTTTTATATTCTCATCAACAAAATATTTCCTCGAGCGTTGTTTTTCATCATGGTGCACATAAGGCAAAAACGAGAACTAGAGTACCAGCCTAGGTACAGATCTGCCATTCCACTGGCCCCTGGAATACCACTGGAATTATCCTTCGCCGCATACCAACCATCCAACTTTGAGAGAGAAAAAAAACCAGCTGTCATAGGCCTGTCAATAATCACGAACAATTAGACACGTTCTCGATGGTTCGTGCGTCCGCGTCGCGTGGAGAAGGCAAGAGTGCAGGATTAGGGCTTGCGCTAATTTTCTTGCCTTAAGGGTCCTCAGGTCTCTCAAGTCTTATAAGAAAGGGTCACCCAGAAAAATTTGGGGGTTCCATCGCAATTGAAGCGTGATGAAATCTTGCAAAGTTACACAAAAAGTTTCAAATCCCCGTCAATGTTTTTTCTTTGATTTAACATGACCAAAAGCATGATATTCAATCCAGCAGCTTTAGGACTACTTCCAACATTTTCTCTTTAACAAATATCCCTAGGGCATCTTCAAATTTTCGATTTACAAACTTATGCTTATTACGACTGCCAGATGCTGAGTAGGGATTTTTCTTATTTGCATTTGAGCAGAAATCACTGGAAGCTCTTCCATCTCTATTTGACCCAAGCCTTTTTGAAAATTTTAAATATTTTTTCCTTCGTTGTGATTCATGGTTCACAAGCTGCCCATTTTCATAATCGCCCACGTTCATCTCTCTCCCTTCAGTTTGACTAGGTCAAAGCCTACGGCAATCTTCTCTTCTCTGTGCACCCTAAGTGGAACGATGACATCACCTTCGTTTAGAATTTATACCTACGCTGTTGATACCTTTCTTTATGTGCCACTAGGCCCATGTTCAGGAACATCTGAACGCATGCCAACGTGTGATTCGAATAAACTAACATCGTACATTTTCCGCTTGTAACTGAACGAGAAGAGTGTTGGCCCAAACCGCCCTGAAGTCTAAATTGAAACGAACGGAAATACGTCATGAACGCGTGAACACAATGCATCATGCGCCGCTCTCATCACTTTCACGTCGCGCACCTTCCTCGACAAGGACTCCCCCCACCCCCCTTCCTGTCACTAATAAGGTTGCGCACGGTTCTAAGAGGCAACTGCCAACTGGTCTGAAAACCAGTCAGAAAATCTAGAACTTTCCTGCGTGTCCCTGGGACCCATGTTTTTCTGTTGTGCGTCCCTTCAGAATTTTGTGCGTATAGGACGCACATCTGCGCGTAAACGCAAGCCCTGAGGATGCCGGACGCGGCATGTCACAAGTACGCCCGGCAACCCTCTCTACTCTGCCACGAGCAGGCTGCTCTCTTCTATTGTCTACTTTGGATCCATCATCCACGAGAGCTAAAAGGGAAGCAGAAGTTTTAGTCGTAGACTGTCACCCCCGATCCAGGCGGAATACAGTACATGTACACTGAGTCGAGTTGTCCGGTTGCTATGGAAACTGCAGACAGAGCGGGAAAAAAGGAGGGAAAATAATAGACCGATCGCAATATCTGCCATTTTCCCCTAATACCTACGGGAATGGCATATATAATGAGGAACAGAACAAGAACGTTCACAACAGTCGCCTATGGAACTCCAGCTCCACCGACTGCATTTCAAAAGAGCGTCCACTTCCACTCCCAGATAGACCCTTCAAATCCTCTCAGCTCCTATATGATACAAAGCACACATTCATATTTGTATCTTTCCGGAAGCTAACGTGAGCGTTGAAGAGTCCTGAGAGTCGAACTGTGAAAGAACACAGACAGAATTCAGTGTTAAAAAAAAAGTTCCATCCTTTTCCTCGATGGTATTTCTTCTTGTGTGGGGTCTGCTAGTGGAGTTTCATAATTGTAGGAAGATGCTGCATTTCTCGTATAATCTCTTATCCCTTCTCATACCATAGAAAAAAATCGCCGCGGATGGTATTGAATCTGATTGATCGCAATCCATGCGACATCACCTCTGTCCGCCGCTCCTTTAAAAACATTCCTTCTACTCACAAGACATATCGGGAGATATTCTTGGTACCTTTTCCTGAAATGGAGTTTTGCTGCGATTTATTAGTCGTGTGACATCCTTGCTTCTTTGCTCCAGCATGGGGCTTGAAGCCTTCATTATATCAGAGCAAGAAACTCTGCAACAGCAGGGAGTTCATCTTGGCTTTGTGTCGAAAATCACCGTTAAATATAAGGTTCTATGTCTCAAATATCTCCAAATCTGAATTTTTTAAAGTTATTATTTAACGCTAATCTCTGTTCCTTTAAAACGACGATTAAAGAATTTAATCAATTAATTTCCAAGCTCTTTAATCCAAATTAAATATTGATATAATGATGCTAAGAACAATAATCAGATCAACTTTTGGGATATTAAACTCAACCTAAATTGAGTTTTTCTAATTTCTAACAGTGGAATCTCGAATTTAAAATCAAAGTCTATTCTTTTCCTTATAGCTTCTTGGCTAATTTTTCTGGTGACTGCCGAGAAGTTATATGCTCTTACAGTCCATATTTCTAAATAAAAAAAAGAGTAGGCTGCCCAGATAGACTGGCAGGAAGAAGATGGGACTCTTGCAGTACTCCAATAGTTCAGATGCAATACCGGTTTCGCGATGTTCAATACAATTATTGTCCAGTATCTAAACTGAAGAATAATGAGCCAAAAAATTGGGAGTTTTGTACCCTCACATCAGAACCTCCCGTCAAATTTATATCATTCACATTTTGGGTCGAACCGATCCTTATTCTTTGGAGGTGAATCTGGAATTAAAAGGGAAATCCACATTTTATCGGTGATTCACAGCTAAAATCAAACTGTGAGTCAGATTGGACCTTCTCAGCATTATTCACAAGATGTTCTACTTTCAAGAAATACGGCAGCAGTCAGAATAATGCCTGGTCGATTTTTTCTCCAATAGAAACGAGTTTCATCTATCCCACATAGAAAATGAGGGAGCGCTTATTTTGAAACACCGTATATATGTTTTCATTCATGACTATCCCCAGCTTTTCAACCTTTTCACCTTAAAAAATGATGATGCGTATTTTTCCGACGAAACAGCTTATCTACGAGGTATTGCGGAGAATGCGTCTGATCTGACGTCCTCACGGGTGCCATAAATCATGAGGTGTCATAAGGCTAAAATTTTACGTTCTGTTGCCTGCACGTGCTCCGATAGACATGCATAATTGTAACGTTTGCCTTGAACCAAGCCGGGAATCCCGACATGAATCTCGACCGTTTAAGGCATGCCGACTTTAGAGCGTCTACCCGGCGCAGGAAGCAGAGTGACGATGTCCTGTCAAACCCTCATCAGACGCCATTAGTGAGTGGAACAAGCGAGTGAGCGGTAGTTGGTTACTTGCTCTCTTCCTGGTTCGAACATGACTTCCTCTTCCGACCAGAACTCCAAGCCACAACTTAATCATTCGGAATCACGGGATTCTCCAGAACTCGACATTCATGAGGTAATCGATACAGAAGCATAATCATAAGTTGCCGATGGATGCGTTTAATTTTTTTCGCCTTAGTCTCACGTTCTACAGGGGAGCCTATTTCACATGTTCGCCGACAATGTTTCTTTGGCTGGAATCGTGCAAAATCAAGAGTGTAAATGATACAGAACAGGGAAGTTCAGACACTGAGCATATCATACTTTTATTACTCACATTTTTGGCCGGCGCTTTCGTCGCGATCAATATGGTCATGGACAGTTCGAGACACACAGATCGTCGCACTTGCACGGCGAGGCTCGTGTTTGCAGGCAAGGGTTAGGTGAATAAATGCGAAGGAAGGAATGGAGTATCGGAGTTTCTGATGGCTATCGGCTGGGAAAGGGAAGGGAGGGAATCGGTCTCTGTCGTTTTTACACTTTTGAGCGGTGCCGTTCATGTGAAAATTTGAGTTTTCATGTGCTTGACACTGGAATGCGTAAAAATGTGTGGCAGGGATAGAAAAACTGCACGAGGGGTAACTTTTCATCGTAAGGAGACAAATTGACAAGGAGATGTCATAACAATGTTAGATGGAGAGTTGTAATGGTGATAGATTGCGGCGGCGTACACAAGAGTGGCTCAAAATGTGGATTTCTCAGTTCCTAATTCATGAACCGGGATCGACGACAGTTGTATACTATAACTTTCATCCAGGGAGTCTGCAAATACCTTGCTTGAGTTGAGATGTCATTTGAAATCCTCCCGCGTCCCTGCAATGACCTCGTGACAAGGAAAAAGCGACGATCGGTATAGACGACGAAGGCCTACTCCGATCAAAGATGCATGCAACTTCGAGTCCGCAACAAACTGTCCACGACCATTTTGGCTGCGACAAAGGCGCCGGGAACTCTCACATTTTCAGTGAAGCACTTCATTTAAATGGATGAAGTCTGACTTCATCTCTGCACTGCGGCATGAGATGTCCCTATTCAAATTTGTCTCTTGGTAGGTGAAACAGGACAATGCCGTCATGGTTTGTACATGACATGCTTGTCAGATGGAATTCCGATTCCGCTCCTGTTATAGGCACAGGTGAGCAAATCATAAATCAAGTTGACTCCTAATTGGCAACCATTTTCAGTAATGAATTACACCAAATAAATCACAAAGAAATTACCTGATTTAAATTGTGAATCTGCTAGCATGATTCGAAGCAAGACTGACTTAAATCAAGGGTAGACTTGGGCACCGGAAGAGATGCACTAGTGCAGCGAAATCCTCAGGTTGCTTTCTCTATCACACGAATATCGAAGGTTTCGGTTTGGTTTGCAAGTGACGTCATTTCAAGACATGATCGGGAAATCTCAAATCTAATCAGTTTTTCAACTCTATTCATATATATTTATTTATTTATTTGACATATTTATTTGACCACTCATGAAGCAACATTATTTTGAGATTTGAATCGGATTCAAACCACGTTATGATTTCATTTCTACCCTTTCACATTAATAGGCCAACACCTTAGAAGGCATTTTCGAGTCGATTGGGTCGTACGGAAGATGGCAGAGGCTGATTCTTTGGCTCATCGTGTTCCCGGCCTGCGTCCCTTGCGGTCTGCACATGCTATCCCAGCTATTCATGACGGAGATCCCGCCCCATCACTGCAAACTGCCCGACCGGGTCAACGACCTCATGCGTGATTACGGGTCCTCCATCCACGCGGTCCTCCCTCAGGTCAGTGCCCTTTCGGTACCGTCGCATTCCGTTGAGATCACGATCCGGGGCATGACTTGGCCGGGTCTGATATCTATTCAAGCAGCTGAGAATCTGAGAATCGAATGCTCGTCCTATCTCCAACCAGATGCTCCTATGCCAGCCAGTATGCCACATACACAATCGCTGGTTATTAGTTCTAAACGCCGAAGTAATGGAAACAAGGTGAACCTAGGTAAAAATGCAGTAAAAGAAAATGAGGTAAAATGCTGGTAAAAGGCATATAAGCCTGACATATGCTACCGAGACCTTAAAACTCAATCTAAAAATGAAGATTTTATCGCTTATATTTTCATGATTTACGCTCGAATGTATTTCTTCGGAAAAAGTATGTCAAAACATGTGTATGCTCTACAAGTCAAGAAAGAAAGAAAGTAATCCAATGAAGAAAGTAAGTTGAAACGAATGGGAACGGCGTTTCCATACTTTCTTCGGCGTATGATTTATATTCCCACAAGAGGGAGTTAAAACACCGCTTCCATACTTATTACAATCAATTTTAAAGTCGCAGCTGAAGCGGTGTCATACAACTAATACCAATCTGCTCTAAGCATATTGTGATAGAGGAGTGGCTCAACCCATCACTGCTTCATCTTCACAGTTCCATGCAGGTCAACTTTCATCTCTGATGTAACCAACAGGAAGAGAAAAGTAGGTCAAGCAAAAAATATGCAATTGCGTAGGAAAAGGCAAGGGGAACTGTAGAAGGTTTTCACTCATGCTTATCCAAATTTATTTATGAAAGCATCACTGGTTTGTAAAACACCTTGGAAAACACTGTTTTCACCTCTGGAGAACATGATCTGAATAAAAATAGGGGGAAAGGACAAGGATTCGATTGATTTCCATTCATGACCTTAACTTGACCCACTCTAATGGAAAAATAGAGGTCTGGTGTATTACCCTGAGTCTTGCTCAAGAGCTATTCTCACCTGAGCTAGAAAATATGATGCTGTTTAGCCCATTCAAAGGTATGGGTGAATGTGAACTCTACTTTGAAATAATATGTGGCTCCAGCTCTACATTACGACGCTGAATAATAAATGTCATGAAGCCTATTCGCAGCTATGGAGAGTAAATTAAAAAAAATTAACGCGTAACTAACGAAGTTTTTTTCAGTATTTTAGGCTGCGAAGAATGACATTGCCACTACTGTCGGTAAATTATTCATTTTTGGGGAAAAGGAACGGAAGTTATTGCGACAAGTTGCGTTTTCTAAGTTTCTCAAGCGGGATTCCTTCCTTTTCCACAATAAAAAGCTCTGTTCTACCTATTTTTTTAAGCTTGTTTTTCAAGTTCTTGGCAGTACAAAGACAATATTTTTAAAATGCTATATGTTTTTGGTTTTATCCAGCCCTGAAGGTAGCTATTACTCCACCCAAAGAAGTATTCGAAAATGGAGTTGTGCAAAACTTAGACATGGCGAACAATTTGTAGAACCATTTCTCGCCATGAATATGCCCATTGGCGCAGTTTGTCTCATGAACTAGGGGGCATTGTAAAAGAAAGGGGACTGTGAAAGTCAACGTGGAGGGTTGCTCAGGAAAGATATTCAGGGGCGAAAAAATTAATTTGAGGCCCTAGGTCAGTCGCTCTAAACACTCTCAAAGGCTGCTGCAGCCCCTCGTGCCCCCCCCCCCCCCCCCCCCCGCCCCCCCCCCCCCCCCCCCCCCCCCATTTTTCCTTAAAAAAATCCCCCCCCCCCCCCCCCCATAAAACACACCACTGAACCTGCCAGAAAAAAAACTCCTCTCATTTTCAATTCATCAATAAATATTTATTCAACTGAACTTCATTCAATGAAGAAAATAATAATATGGACGTCATGCATCACAGTAACGAGTTCGACGCTCTTCTTGCCAGAGCGTCATGTGATATGTTCAATGCAGGAGGAAATACATTCAAATCAAGGAGGTCGAGGGTATGCGGTGCTCATGAGAACTTTTTGAAGCAGCTCTTGCTTCGATGCAATAGTGAATTCATACAATGACGTTTTTCGCATATTCAGGTTGGGTTGTTTCATCGCCAGGTTCGAAAAGCACGTAAAGTATAACTTCGTTTGTAGCAGTATCTATACCAAATTACTTTCTGTGAACCGGGGTTGTGCAGTAACGCTTTGCCAAAGCCAGGAACAAGAAAATGGCAACGCCTTCCTTTTCCCCAAACGTGACGAAAGGCAGTAAGGCGTTCCAAATTTAGGGGAGAAAAAATCGACGGTACCCTTTCAGCTAGCAAGTAATAAAAGGCAAATAACCTGAATCCCTTCCCCTCCCTATTACAGTTGCATGAAATGACGCCCCTCCTTAAGCATCATTGTACTGTAGCTAGAGGATAGCCTTATTGGGGATGACAGCTCCAGATTTTTATTTCCTTGGTCTCCTCGACGAGATTTTTTTTTAGTTTTAACACCCAGTCTCTGAGTCAATGAGACCGAAACGAGCTATTTTGGTAGGTGCTACAAGAACGAAGTCATTCCGGTATTAGTTGTACACAAAGGGGAGAAGTGTTTTTGGAAGGCCCATCATCTCAAACCTCCAAAAACACCTTTTCCTTGAGTGAAGTGAACCCCTCGTCACAAGCTCCATCGGAAGAGGGGTATCCTCGAGGGTTGGCCGCACCGCCAAGCCAAGCATGACACTGGATTTTTCCGTCCTGTTATCAAGCAAGCACTAATAGGAACAACTCACAAAGCCTTTTCTTTATTCTTTCTTCATCACCTGTTGTTTTACGCGACCTATTTTGCTCCTGTCTTATACAAGTGCTTAGTCACATCGCTATTTCTTCGCTGGTGTTATGAGCGGATTCATATCCTCCTGCGTCCCCTCCCCCCCCCCCCTCCCCTTTTGCGCGACAGCTTCACTTCCACCGGTTTTCCATCATGATCGCAACCGCACCTGCTACAGTGGCACTAATGCAAGTGGCACACTTTGCCACCTTGCATTGGCATGTATGTTTGGTGCTGGACTGAGCTTCTGCGCTCATCGTTGTTGGTAGTTTGGACAAAAAAGGAAACGAGCTGGAGCGCTGGAAGAGGGAAGGGGGGAGGGGAGAAACTCGGACAAAAACACAGGTACAAGCAAGGAAGAAGAGCAACGTCATTCGGAAGAATTCAACTAATACATTTCCCCATTTTACAACAGCGATGTAACGGACAGTGGTTCGGCCACTTCAGTTTTTTTCGTGGTTTCTTGTGGTGGACCTCACCCTTCTCTCCTTCATATCTTCGTCTACAAAAGGAGATGACTAAAACTAAGGGTACTGGAGGAAGCCCAACTTCCCCAGATTCCTCCACATATGCATGGAATAGGGGTTGTAGTAATGCCGGAATGGGTTCGTTTCTACCCCATCCCCCGTAACTGGTCTCATTGACTCAGAAACTGGGTGTTAAAGCAATGAGCAACGGTAACGAGTGACGACAGTCACTCATTGAAAAAATCTCGTAGTAGTGATGGGTAGTTGCATTTTTTTAAGGAAAGAGTAGCAGTGAGAAGATACTTTTTCCGAATAACAATCATAACATTACTGTCGACAGTAGGTTTTACTGACAACTAGTCACCATTTTAGTCAAATATTTGTAACTGTGACTAGACCAAGTTTCTTTTCGGAAGTAACTTGGCCATTACGGCATGTTCGTCTCCATCTCCGCTTGAAGCCTGTGCGTGCAGACTCTGGAAAGGGTGAGTTTGAAACGAGGACGGAAACGTACAATATTTGATTCAATATCACAGCGTATTATTTTGTCACGTCAACTTTGTCCATCAATTCGGAAGAGAATTCAACAGGACATCTAGGATGTGATAAATTCTTGGAAACTCAAGTCCACACACTACCTTCACAGAGAGAATCGGGAAAGACGCACGTCAATGATGGGCGATACGCACCAGATCCATTCAAGTTGAATAGATTCACTTCTGCAATGGATTTCTAGTGAAATAACATCGTCACAGTCAACTAGTTTCTGATAGGGGTCCTTACGAATTTAAGTAAATCGATAGGGTTGCCCATTTTAAACTCACGTTTTCGCTCTATTTCGGTCAGGTTCAGTACTTTTTCCCCGCTTCGACGTCTTTCGTCTCATGTCGTCAGCATTGATCGACGCACACTTGAATCTAAACAGAGCAATTATGATAATAACTGGTATACCTCGTATGTGCATAGGACGGAGCCACCGGGATATTTTGCGTCACCTTCGGAAATTTCGGTCTAATCTACCCCACCCCTTCTTCCTCCTGAACTTGATAGTCATCTGATGTACAGGCTGCTGTATTTTTCAGAACAGATATGCTTGATGCTCCTGTTATCCTAATGTTACAAATGCAAATATCGATAGCAGTTATCTCAGTAGACTTCATCCCTTCCGTACTCCATTACCGTAAAACGGGAGGATCCGGGGATTCAATTGAGAAACATTGTATCATTCATTTAGCGTGATTGACTTTCGAAAGATCTTCGACGGATCAGACAGAATATACCAACAAAAAATAGTAAAATAGCAGATGTAAGACTTTGCCCTTTGAGCTAAATTCTATTTAGTTTATATATTTTTTTTGCGTTGCTCCAACATGAGCTTGGAATCTGACGCGGCTTCATTTGTTAACAGAGTCGATCCCTCCCAGGTTTTCTTTTAATCAATGACGTTCTTGCGATTCCACGTGACATATACTTAGCGTTATGTCCCTGCGCTTGTTGGATTCTTGAACTGACGGGAGGCTGAACATTTTATGGACTCAGAGGCCCATAGAATTCTCTGCTCTTTCGGAGGGTTCTTGTGTCATGGCACATCGCGTTCAGTGCTTTGTGTCATGACACGAATCATGGTCCGAGTCAAAACTGAATGCGCTCAGACAACCAACCTGATGATACTGAAGACCTATGAGTTGATAGCAGCAAGGGAATGGCGAGCCAGCTCGGTGTCAAGAGTTCAATGTCACAGACGAAGATCTCGAGGACACGGTCAGGGGGCTACTGAAGCACAACCAATCGTGGCCGGTGATGTCGTGCCAACGAGGATGGTCTTACAACGTCTCGGCGCTTGGAGTGGACGTCGGACCTACGTCCATCGTTGACGAGGTTTCCTTTTTTCTTATTTCTACTATTGTGGAATTTTCGCCGATTCGTTCTTGATCGATCTATCTGATTACAGTTCGACCTCGTCTGTGACAAAGATTTCTACCCAAGCCTGGTCCTATCCATTTTCAACGTCGGGTCCGTCATAGGAGTGGCCGCTTTTGGATATATCAGTGACCGGTGAGACATCATACGGGCAGTGTGTATTCATCATTTTACATCTAACGATTCCACCTAAGAGACATTTTTGTCGGTTTCCCCTTGGAAGGTATGGGAGGAAGAAGGCTTTTTTTTCTTGCCTGCTGCTGGAAACTATAGGGGCATTTGCGACGGGTTTGAGCCCAAACTTTGGAACCTTCATCTTCACCCGCTTCCTGGTCGGACTCACCATACCTGCAATTTGGCAGCTACCATTCATCCTCGGTCTGTCTTGTCATTCCAGATCCACAAGGTACACTTGGGAAGGGGGACTCAGGCATCGCAAAAAAAGGCTGAGCTTCACAGTGGCAGTCAAATTGATGTAGAACAGTTTTAATCCGATCGTTCACTGATGCCAACTTGAAGGCTCTCAATGCTCACAAATCCAAATTTATTTATTTATTCATTTCAAGTATAATTATGTGAAGCAACTTTTTTTTCCATCAACCCATGTGGTAACAGCGCTGGAGTTCGTTGGAGCCGCGCACCGTGGTTTCGTGACAATATTGACCTGTACGTGGTACACAGGTGGTCTTTTGTTGCTCACTGGTCTCGCCTATGTCTTCCCCTATTGGAAACACGTTGCTTTCGCAACTGCCGTTCCTCTACTTCCACTCTTCCTCGCCTATAAGTAATTGCCCAGCTTTATCACGGACGGTGGAACTTATCGAATGGTGATCTGAGGACATATCCCCTCTCATGCAGGTACCTGCCCGAGTCGCCAAGATGGAATCTCCGAAAAGGAAGGATAAAAGAGACGCTGGAAACCATGGAAACCATAGCGAGGGTCAACGGTACACCCATGAACGAAGCGACGAGGGAACGCGTAGAGGTAAGACAATTCAAATCATGAAATCATATTTTGGCTTTGTACTTACATATTCATCAAGAAGACTCTACAGTAATCCCGTTTGAAACAAATCTCGTGCAAAAAAAAATTGTTCCTGCTGATTTTCTCCTTGATTCTGTACCGCACAGATGCTCTTGAGGAAGGAAGCTGAGCAAGAAGAGGTACAAAAGAGCACGCAGAAACATTCCAAGGCTCCGACGGTTTTAGACCTTTTCAGGACGCCCAACATGAGACGAAAGACTTTGCTCATCAATCTTTCATGGTATGTTGACTCTTTTGTGCAGTTTTTTTTCAATGAAGCAAATGCAAAACTTTCATCACGAAATCATTTATGCATAATGTGACGCGTCCACAGTGAAGAGGAACATAGAAAGAAAATCGATAAGATAGCTCCCACACCTTCACTAAGACAAGGCTTGAATCCAGCTCAAACGGTGGGCATTTTTGTAAGCTTGTAGCCTACGGCAGTAAGTACGTACGGAATTTGTCCAGTTTTTCCCTCAAAACCTTATCCGATATTATGTATACAATGGCAATTGATTATTCGTTGTCGAAGTTATGCAGCGGTCATTTTCGTCGGAGTGCTTTTCCATTTGTATTTCACACATGCCTTATAACTATGTTGTAGGGTACATTCACCCTAAATCTTTGTTCGTACGCATTAAAACTGTTCAAGTAAAGATCATAGGCATTTTTCTGCGCCTCTCAGCGTACACTTCGAAAGGAATTCCTTTGCCATGCTATATATGAACAGTCCGAGAGAGGATATAGGTGTCTGTATGTTGGCCTATATTGCCTTGGGTGGTCCTAGGCCCTAAAAAAAGAAATTAATTTTACTTGGCTGTGGACGGAATACCGTTTAAGATATCGGCAGGTAATTGGCATATGCGTCATATCCAGCGGTAGACAGTTTCTCGCAAGTTAAATGAAAGTGGTCGTGTAGAACCAGAGAAACAACTTCTGCGCGACGTCAAGTGATTCAGTGCTTCAGCATGCTTGACCTGGCTGCGTCCTCCGCGCACGATCGCTCGTCCTCGTAGCCCGATCCAGCTGAGTAAGCAGGCGAAGACGTTCTCGCACATTCGGCGTCGCGGGGGAAGGAGCTGTTACTCGGATTCCAACTGATGAATTCCATGGAGATATTTGTAATATTCGTAAATCCGTTCACATTGTTGGAAGTGACTTCCTGAAAATTTCCTGCGGATATCTTTATCTCGTCTGGTATTTCGGCTGAAGCAATGTCAAGTTGGGAACTTATTGGCTCATTCAGGATTATCTATATAAACGCACCTATATCTTCTGTCGTGCTATTTATATTTGAATAATAAATCTTTCTTGAGTTCAGAAAAGGACACACTTTTGAGGCACATGCATTTTTATAAAATTCGGTTTTGAGGCTAAAATTCCTGTTTCGAGAAACTTCCTTAATTGATTTCATCGCATGTTTCGTTTGAATTTGATGGGTAATTGCGAATTGAAGACTGGCAATCACTCCAACCGAGGAGCGGTTTCCTCCTATCAACATGCAGAGTTTTATTTTTTCTCGACAGGTTTGCAAATCAGACGGTTTACATGGGCCTGAACTACTGCGGGCCGGCGATGGGCAACAATTCATACGTTGGATTCAGCCTTTCCTCTGCCGTGGAACTCATCTGCTATCCTCCAACGTACTTGGCGATGGATAAAATCGGAAGGAGGCTTCCCATGGCCATCGCCATGATCATCGGAGGCATCAGTGCTATTTGCACCGTTGTCATGCCATCTGGTAGGTCCTTCTACTCCGGCGTTTTTCAACCGAGGGTTCGCGGCGAGGTTCCAGGGGGTCTGTGAAACTATGCCCAGACATGAAATATACATAAATAGTTGACAAAATGAATAATTAAAAATTCAACTTAAAAGGCTCTGATCTAATAGCCAACTTCAAAAATATTGTCTTCAAATTTACCAATTACTAATTACAAATATAATTACTAATTTTTGAAGCGTACAAATTTACGTGATGGTGAAGCTGCACTTCCTTCTGAAAGAGGTCCGCCGTTGAGGAGCACTGTTCTTCAACGGCGTCTGATCTTTTATCATTCGTCAAATGTCACGACTTTTCTTCTTTCTGCCATTAGACGAGCCAACTCCGACGATGATCCTGTTCTTGATTTCAAAATTGAGCATCACAGCCTCGTTCTTGATCATCTACCCGTTCGCGGGAGAATTATATCCAACGGAACTACGAAGCATCGGGCTGTCATTGGATTCCTACGTCAGCAACCTGGGACTCATCGCCGTGCCTTTCATCGTCTACCTCGGAGTGGAGAATCTCGTTCTACCTCTCATCATCATGGGGGTCATTTCCACCGTGGGTGGGGTCTTTTCGCTTCTCCTTCCCGAGACCCTGAATAAACCCCTGCCACAGACCCTAGAAGAGGCCGAGGAGTTCGGCAAGGGCTGGGGGTGGAGAAGTGTCCTCCGGGGTGAAAAGAAAGCCAAAGAAGAAATGCCAGAGTGCAAAACACAGAGCATGGACCTGGATGCTCTGGCTTGATAAAACATTCCCATAGCTGCTGTCTCGTTCGCTTTCAATGAGAGCTCTTCCTCATCTTGAACTTCCATGAGACTTTACTCGACGACAAGAAGTGACACTGATCCCTTTAAGCTTATTTGATACATTGGCAATAGCATAATGCCTCATGTAAATAAAGAAAATATTGCATCATCTCCCCGGGTCCATGAATTCCCAGAATATCAGAGTGATTAAAAATATATAATTTTATTTAAATGAGCATACATTCAAAATAAAATCATGTTGAAAAAAGGGTACTAATATATAAGGTTAAGCAAAAGTGGCATGATTAATAGGGTGTTAGTAATGGGATTTTTTAAAAGTACTTAATAATAAAATATTGGAACTGATCTTATCATGGCACGGTTTGTAACAAGGAAATGAGCTGAAATTGTGCTTTCTTAAGGAAGGTATGTAGTGATCTAGGAGGGGCATTACCCCACTTTGCATCTGCGGTCAGAGTACTTAAGCCAAAGCTCCCCCAAAAAGTGGATCTGAGTTTGCTGTCCTGATCTGTCCCCGCTTAACTTCCGGTGCAAACACTTGAAATCAGTTGTGCATAAAAATCGACCTCGTACTATCGAATGTCTCAAGAAAGAAATCTGCATAGCTTGTCAAGCTATCTCGAGGACGATGGACATTGTACAAGTGAATGGAAGAACAAAGGATTGACGTTCTCAAATTTGTTCCACCCATCTGGGAATTGTGCTTGCTGAAAAAGCCGGCCACCCACAGACTTTTTTAAAGTGCTAATAAATGTTGGCAGTATTACAGCCATTACGGGCTAAAAATAAATGTATAGCAAACCCTTTTGAAAAGCTAGCAATAAATCCGAAAATCGACCAATCATGCTAGATATTAAGTCAAAATTGACAGCAAAATTCATTTATGCTTAAGAACCGCGGCACGACGCCTAGTTGAGGGTCCAGTGACGCAAACACTGGAATATAATATCCAACATTTTATTGCGAAAACACGAAATTCGGCGCAGCTGTGCTTGTTCTTGCGATCTTAACATAAAAATTGCATATAAGTCTAAAAAATCAGTGCAGGATGAACTGTCAGCGATCAAGAACCTTGTATAGCGTCTGAGGTGTGCTGATGTAGAGGAGCACACCATGAAGAACTTCCTTCATTGACATTGTGAGAGTCGATTACTTTGATTTTTTTTTCAGAATAGATCGAATTCCATGATGTTCCTAATTTCTATTTTTATTTTGTAAAAAGGAGCTTAAGCTTTTTACTTTCAAAATCAATGGAATTTTTCCAAGTTAAGCATAAACAGTGCTCACATCATTACGAAATAAAATGGTTACTCCTTGATTCCGAAAAATTTCAAGTAGCTACCGTAACAATATATTTCACGAATAAGCAACTAAATTTAGTTGCTCGTTGTTTGAAAATTTCGAAAGCTTTACCCGGATCAAGAGGATAAGAACTTGATAGTTGCCGAACGACGACACACTAGCTAGGTTCAGGATTACTTACAGGTAGTGTTGAGCGCCAAGTGTTCCCATCAGGTTCGCCAAAACATTTGCAAATAGGTGACATAAAGGCGAATAAAAAAAATTTCAAAATGGAGAGGATATGGTAGCGATGCAATTAGGATTCATTCGAAAGGGCGACAGTTCAAGAAGTTCAAGGCGACCTTGAAATAAAATGGTCAGTGCTTCTAGCTGACTTTAATGGTGCTTCGTATTGGCTTTTTTAAATTCTAGAGAGTAAAAATTGTTCAATTGTATACATTGCCGGAGCTGCCGCGCTGCTCTGGAATAAAAAATCAGTCTCAAAACCAATAAGTCTCGTTTAATGTGGTGGAAACGATGTGCTCCATTTAAATGAATTTATTCAACAAGCAGCAAATTCCACTGTGTGGTCCAAGACAGAAAGAAATATGAAGGCTGTGCAGAAATGAAAGAAAGTGAGAGGTTGGAACAGAGAAGGCAAAGAGCACATGAAATCCATAATTGCATAATTAGAGGAATCGGACAAAAATCAATATCCACCTCGGAGACGCAGAACCAAATGCAGGGTTGACTCCTTCTGGATGTTGTAGTCAGAGAGGGTTCGTCCATCTTCCAACTGCTTTCCTGCGAAAATGAGTCGCTGCTGGTCTGGGGGGATTCCTTCCTTGTCCTGGATCTTGGCCTTCACATTCTCAATGGTGTCTGATGGCTCAACCTCTAAGGTGATGGTTTTTCCAGTCAAAGTCTTGACAAAGATCTGCATCCCTCCTCGCAGTCGAAGAACCAAATGCAGAGTCGACTCCTTCTGGATGTTGTAGTCAGAGAGGGTTCGTCCATCTTCCAACTGCTTTCCTGCAAAAATGAGTCGCTGCTGGTCTGGGGGGATTCCTTCCTTGTCCTGGATCTTGGCCTTCACATTCTCAATGGTGTCTGATGGCTCAACCTCTAAGGTGATGGTCTTTCCAGTCAAAGTCTTGACAAAGATCTGCATTTTGTTTCTTTAGAAGTTCTGAAACAAGAAAAAAAAAAGTTATGTGCAATTGGAGGGTCATAAGGATGATAAGACTCAGTCATTATCATTTGAAACTTCTAGACTTCATTAAAATTTCCCAATGAGAAGTGCTTATAAAGAATCTGCTCTGCTCTTTGTTGCCTATTTACATTACAGCATACATAAGCACCTTACCCTAATACAGCCAACATAAATATTGTTGATGGCACATTTCATTGCCCCAGTGTACCCTCTCCTAAATAAGCCAGCTCATAAGCTGCATGACTGGAGTAAGGTGGACAAGTGGTTCTGACTTCCAAGTCAAACCCGGGAGGTGAGGGATAGATTTAGTATGGTGGCAGGATCTTCCTCCATCAACAGGAGACCCACCTGTTTTCATGGGGAGTGTCTGATTAGCGTGGGATAACATACATGCCACTCTGCAGGCTACATCTAGGAGATGCAGGAGCAACAAAACTTAAAAACCACTCATGCCAGTCATGGGCTTAGGCAACCCATGAGCTGCCCCCAAGGCCTACAGGACCGTAGAGTGGTGTCTCAGCCTAAGGGACTGTGGTATGGATGTGGTGCTTGTGCCAAGCAGGCACCCCTTCCTCTCGGTGTTGTAAAAATGTGCCTAAAGGTGTGCCTGTTGTCGTGTGTGTATGTCTGTCACATGTCCTGCTTTAAGGAACATTTCTGGCAGGAAAATTTCCTTAACTTTTTCTACCTGCTCTCTGTATCCCTCTTCCACAAAAAGCTATATATCCACCAGAAAACATACCTAATGAACATGAACAAGAGTTTCACAAACCACAACAATGCAATTTAAAAGTGTTTTCTGTATGTTTCTAAGTGCAGTTCCTTATCAAACTCTCATGAGTCGTGTCTATATAGGCCTAAACATTATTATTATCAATTTTGAAGCAATTCTTGCAACCACCATGCCAATGAAGATAGCCTAATGTTGCACCTGGGCCAAGCATTTTTCTCCTTTCCTGTGATATGGCACAAGTTATGAGCTGGATTTCCTCATTTTGAAAATTAAAATTTCACTACATCTATTTGAAATGCCTCCTCCATTGACAATGGGCCTAGTAAGGTTTGCAGGTATAATGTTACTGTAGTGGTCTTCAACTTTTCTGGTCCATGGAATGCATCAGCTCATTTGGAATAAAAATAGCAGTTTGTCTTGCTGCTTCACAGAAAATTTGCATAAATTATGTATCACATCAATTGGCAGTAACTTTGGTAATGTGTGATAAGATGAACCTAGGGATTAATCTTACCTTGGTATTCCCCTTCAAGAATGCCAAGACTCAAGCTCAGACTGTCTGCAGGCACAAGGCTTATTTTAACAGGCCCATTTACAGGGCCTTCGCCTTAATTCAATGGGAGTAGGCAGCTTAGTATCGAGCAGCCTTAGTACAAACCTAATAGGCTCGTCGTTGGTGATGAATAGACCTATTAGATCTTGGGCACAAAAAGGCATCACCTCGAACCAACTTCAACATGGATTGATGTTAATTTCACAGGCTGTACCTTCTGAATCCCCATAAAATCAAGTGGAATCCTTCCACCTTCAGATCATAGGAATGAAGGTGAAACAACCGTAGGCTAAGGTTAGGTAAGAAAAGGGAGCTTCTTCCAACCTGGAAAATCGAAGGGATGATCAGGTGTGGACCTTCTGGGCGAATACGAAGCTGGGATACCTAATCCGTTGAAACAATGATTTCTCCTTGGTGTATTGTTGAGGAGACTACAAAGAAACTTTCGGTTTTCTAGAATGAGAGGAGTCACACGAATCTGAACGAAAGCGACCGACCGAATGGAATGGAGGGTGAATGGCGCAGCTGCTTCTTCGCTAAGGCTGCGCCTGTGAACGCCCTGTCCGTTACAAGGTCATAGAAGACGCTATCACCGCGCACTTGGAGGATCCGTTTTTTAAATTCGTTTTTCTGTCTGTATTTGGCGTTGATAATCCCAGAATCATCAAGAAGTTTCTGTAAAAGAAAGGATAACAATAGGTCAGCTTTCTTGATGAGGGGGAGCTTATTGTATGGGTGAATTCGGAACGCGAAAGGTCGACCCGACATCCCTTCTATCGAACCAGCTGGAACTTGCCTAGCTGTTGCTAAGGGGAAAATCAAGTACCGAACAAAGACCCGACCTCGTTCCTAGTATCACTCCATGAGTCATGTCATCCGCGCACTTGGCTACAACCAATGAACAGTCATCCTTTCCAGAACAGACTGTCATTCCCATCTCAGATTATCAACGTCATCGCAGCAGCCCTCATCGAGTCAAAGGAAACGCACATAGAACTTTCTATGTACAGGGCCGGATTAAGAGGAGGGGGGGGGGTTGTTGCTCCGGGTTCCACTCATCCAGCCCCCCCCCCCCCCCCCCCCCCCCCCCCCCCCCCCNGCCCCGGGTTCCCCTCCCCCCCCCCCCCCCCCCCCCCCCGAAGGAAATGAAAAACATTAAATATTTGCGTAAAGTAGCTGGGTGGGGGGAGAGGGGTT